TAAAAAAATGATAGTTTCTTTCTTTTCACGTCTTATTTTTTACATATCTAATTATTTTATTTATAAATAGTAATAACGGTGTGCAAACTCATTTTACTTCTATTTCTTTTACATACATGAATAAGATTTATCTTTTAGCTCGAATAAAAGAGAAGTAAAATTTTTTATCCTTCATTTTTTTAATAATTTTTTTCAATCGTAACTCAAAATATAAAAATACGTAAAAAAATTTACGAATCAAAGTAGTTATAAAGTTTAAAAGTGTTTAACATGTTTTATTCATTAATTAGATAATTTTACTTAGATTTTTAGCGTTTAGTAAATAAGTTATATCATTACAAAACATTTTTATCTTTAATTTTTTGAACTTTTTTGTTTTTTTTTTCCTTTTTTAAATATTGACCGATCACGAAAATATTTATTGTCAATATAAGAAAATATTAAATATATCCCATAACCTAACTTTGGATAGAAATGTTTATTAAAATTCTCAAATAATATTTAAAAATCAACTAAAATTTATGGTTAATATGAAATCTCCTCCACCATTAAGATTATAACCGGAGATAAAAAGACTTTGAAGGCAGAATCAAAAGGAGAGATGGAGGGCAAAAGGTGGTGGGATGCTGCCCCAAAAGAAGGCTAAAATGTTGAATGAACAAGAGGGAGTTTAGATATGGTAAAAGGTTAAAAAAGATGCCCTAAAAAGAAAGCTATAAATAGACATAACACAAATTCATTTCCTACCCCTAATTTGCTCTTACTTTCTCATATAAATAAGACCCTACTTTCAAAATTTAGAGAGTAAATAATCAAGCACCATTTCTGCTTTTCAAAATTTTGGCATGGAGAACCAAGATGAAATTAGGGCTTTTGACATGGGTGCTTTGCAACACAATCTCCCACAAAAGTAAGACTCGAAATTATTTTCTTTCCCTCTTCTTCTTTTTCTCGTATTGTTTTCTAATAGAATAAATTTTGAGATTTGATTTGTGTGCGACACTAATTAGGAGAACTATTTTGTTAATTCATTACGTCTTATCTTCTATGTGAAATTAATAATTTAAGATCCGGGTATGTATGACAAAAAAAAAATTATTTACATTATGTGTAATTTACATAAATTAGAGAAATGGGTAAAATAATTTGTTATAAATAAGTATGATAAATAAATATTTATAACTCGCATATATCTAAATATATATGTATGCATGTGTGTATGAATGAAGCAACTAGAGAGAGGTGATGACAAATAGAAGTGGTGGGATGAGTGGGGGGAAAAGTTGCAATTCTAACATCTACTTATCTATCAATATATTAATTGAATACCTATATAAACACACATATGTATGTGTATAGTATACATTAGTTCTTTCTTCTTCTTTTTTTTTTTTTAACTTCTTTGTTAACTATGTTTTTTGTTTAGAGCAGGAGAGGATTGTCAAGATATTACTCAGGAAAATCAAGATCATTTACATGCATGGCAGATGTTAGGTGCCTTGAAGACCTAAAGAAACATGAACACTCAGATGCTAAGAAGAGGAAAAAGTATGCAAGCAGGAAGAATAATAATGATATGAATTATTTTCCTCCATTTCCGTGTAGGAGAATATCAAGTACCACACAGTGTACTACTTTTTGTAAATAAACCTACATACCCAATTACTTTAACCCATTTATTAATTGGTATTTTCTTTCTTTTTTATTTTTAGTTTTTGAATGGTTCAGTCCCAAATCAGATTTGGTAAACAGAAGAAAACATTTGATGCAGAGGTTTTCTTTCTTTTCTGATTTCATGATGCTGAAGTTACTACTTGTATATTACTAGAAACACAGATTTATGCTCAAGATAAGTTATTTTCCACTATGTGTGCGTCTATATATATATATATATATATAGAGAGAGAGAGAGAGAGAGAGAAAGAGAGACATACATATATGAATTTTGGCTTTACAAAGTGAGCAACCCGATCTTGCTATTGAAATATCACTCTAACCCAATCCAGAATAGATCTTAAAAAGATCTAGTTAGAGCCTTACTCCACCTTAATGACTATTTCCTAGACATATATATATATATATATCCAGTTTCTCCAGAAACTATTCCTTGGAACAACCCAATCTTGCCATTGTTTGTCGTTGCTACTCTTTCCCAGGCTAAGCAGACTGATCATCACCAAGACCTGTTCTTGCACTTTAATGGTGGATTCATTAACAGAACAAGAAATGTGAGAACCCATTTGATTATATCACATTAAGCATTACAGTGCAGAGTTAATTCTACTGGAAAGGATACACATTGTTGCTACACATGTAATCCACAAAAGAGAAAACTGGCAACTGGAAGATGACAAACTAATTAGTAGTGCCTAAACTCAAGCAGAGGCTACCATAAGTTACCTAATACTAATAACAATTATCAGCAACCAAAAGAATCGCCATTTTTTTTTCTCTCTATCGGTACAAAATTAGGATGTGAGAAACTCCGAAAACTAAACCTAATCCCTATTGCAACCTTGTTTTCTTATTGGGGACCGAAGTCCAGTTGTCAATCATAACAAGATCATCTTCATCATCTTCAATGTCAAGCTTTTCCACTTTCTTGGTGCTTCTTGTTTCGTTGGCAACGCTTGAAAGACTTCCTGGGTTGGGCTCATTGTCTTCTGCAAGTTTTCTTTTCTTTGCAGGACCCCTGTTGGTGTCCTTGGAAACTTCTTGCACTTCGACGACCATTGGAGCCTCATCTGCCTCTGCAGGCAAAGCATTTGATGTGCTCCCACCATTTCCATTATATTTTTTCTCATCCTTATCCGTGGGAGCTGGTGACCATCCAGAAAGAACCATTCCATCAGGTTCCTTCTCTTCATCAAATTCTTCCCTGTGAAGTAAGGATGCACATAGAATACATTAACAGAATAATATATGATAATATCATTAAATCCCTTGGAATATTTTCTACTGATAACTGATGATTAGTATATGCATGCACATCCATATGCTCAGACATGTACAAGCTACATACATACTCATTATAGAAGTCAACTAGGAAAATATGTCAGCAGAAATGATGTGACATTTCAAACTAATGCCACCAGTAAAGACAAACCTGATATTTCAAACTAATGCCAGCGAAGTAAAGACAAACCTGTGCTTGACATTGATCTTGCAAGACAACTCTTGTTGAAGATCCTCTACTGTAAGAACCGTCCCACTAGTGACCGGAGAAGGAAGTTCAGAAAGGACCTGAGAACAAAATGGTCAAGAGAACTATAAACATCCAGTTTATTCTTTTAGGCGTCCAAGTAATAAACATACCTTTTCAAGGTTTGCCTCATAATTTGCCACCATATCCTCTTCAAGATCATCACCAACTTCATAAAGAAGGGCTGACCCATGCATAATTAGTGGAAAGTTCATACCAAGTTTGGCCTTAACAATCTTTTCAACAAAATCTCGCAACTTTGACCGGCGAATGTTAATCTCAAGCGTTAATGGTGTCTGATTTTATTAACATCAAATATAGAGAGTTGAGAGGATTGTAGATAGAACTTGAAATACATACCAAGGAAATTCATTTTGTTAAAAAAATAGTTTGTATATACCTCAGAACAGACATAGCAGGATGAGTTAGGTTCAAAAGGTTCCACTGGCATAAGAAGCATCTTTCTTGTAGGATGCTCTACACAGTATGTCATCCTGCAAAGGTTATAAAAAAAAAAGAACTTAAAAGCAAAAATAGATGCAAAGACATCACAGCATGCAAGTCACATCACGATCTGGAAGTCACTGCTGCTTTTTTAGAGGAAAAAACAACAGAATGATTCACAAGGAACCAAGGGGTCCATAAGTCAATACCAATCTACCAATGACAAACAAGCAGTAGCAAGATGTATGGAATATTTATTAGCCTCAAAACTTAGACCCAGTTTTGAGTGCCAAGCCAGCAACTTCATTCATAATAAGGGGTGTGGGAGGCTAGTGGGTTGAGGCTTGGAAGTCGCCCTAAGATACATTCCCTAGATGCTGCTTGACAATAAAAATTGTGGTTTTGAGTAACAGCTTAAAACAAAACCACAATTCCTTCCCAAAAATGAAACAACCACAACTTACTAAAATCTGTCATATCAAACACATAACAATCTCACCACCTTCAGCACATTCAGCGATTGAGAATCATAAGCATACAGTCGCAAGTGGCAAGTGAATAAAAACAATTCGAATTCACTAAAACAGGACTAGCCATAGAACCTAAGATATCACTCCATTATATTTGTTTGGATAAAATGCCAGCCTAAGATATAAGTGTGTTAAACAAATTGCACACAGCATAACAACTCAAGCGGAGATTGCCAACCAAAAAAATCATTAAAAGTTGAGATAGAAAGACAGACCTGTAGTTCTTGGAATCCTTTTGCAGCACCTTGATTGCTTCTATCACAATCAATCCAGCTATAATAGCATTTGTTGTTGCAACAGCATGCACAATATTACCAGCAATACCTTTAGCTTCAAAAAGACTATGCAAGGGGATCCCAAAAGAAGCAGCCCTGATATTTGCAGCAGCAGTAACAAATTCCACAGCCAACTGATCATCTTTATCAAAACTCAGGTTCCCAATCTCCTGCCGAAATAAAATGAGCGAAAATAATTGTTTCATTCAGAGAACAACCTCAAGAGATCCAAGCGACCAAGAATTTCATCAGTCACTTCTTAGCAAGAGATCAATACAAACCTTCCCTCTCTTCATAAAGAATAATTTTGTCGCCTCAAGGTAAACTCTTGAATTTTCCAAGAGACTCCATATGTCTTGTGGATTCTTCAGGCCCAAGGATGCCATGGCAGAGACTGATGAAATATCATCAGTTGCAGAACTTTTATCAATATTTCCATTCTGTTCACTTAGCTTCTCAGGTAGGACATCCCTGCTATATATAGGCCGTGGTCGGTTACGGTTTTTCCATGCCTCTTCATTAGACAGAGCTACTTCAATGTTATAACCAAACACATGGTCATATATCCTCCTACCATACTGTTCAATGTCTTCATCTTGTCTACGTTCAAATACATCTTCTGCGTGTTCCGATGAGCTGGCAGCAGCACTGGAGCGCACATTGAGATCATTTTCTTGATTCTTGTCTCCAAACAGCTTTGCAAAAAGTAGGTCCTTAGCCCAGACAATACAATGGACAAACTGCAAAAGCAAAAGAACTGACATCAAACTCAACTGAGAGAGAGGTTCTTCATAAAAACTTCAAATCCTCACGATAGTGTGCAGATTAGCCAATAAACAGGTCAAGATCCATGTTACAACTGAAATACTGAGAAGAACACAACCCAACAAGTTAAGTACCTTTGATGGAGTACTAGTAATTGTACAGACTGGATATGTCTTGGGGGCTGGCTTTGGCTGGCACTCATAGCATTCTGTCTTTCCCTTGAAATGAACAGTTACCTGCTTCCAGAATAAAGGTATAACATGGTCATAGAATTTCTCGTAATGCACAAAGTCAGTAAAAGAAAATCAATAATGGCTCTCAGCTTTCGGAAACACACAATAATTATTTGCAAAAGAAGAAAAATTATTAGAAGAGCAGGGGGAAAAGTTACATTGGAGGAGAACTACGCGCCTTAATAAAGTCAAGACTATCACTCTTTCAAAATTTACACATCTTACTTCACACATACAGAGACCAACTACCCTTGAGTGCACATAAACTTTACACCATACAATGCCAAGGCTGCAAACAGCTTGCAACTCTTGCTCTAGCCACAATTTCTAATGAAAGATCTATAAAGCACTTTCAGCGACAATTCAAACCTACAAAATTAGTTAACCCAATGGTCAATGCAATTACCAACATTCTACACGCTTTCTAGCACTAACTACGGAAGTTCAAACCTGTATGCAGCCTAAGTAAAGGCAGTATGCAAAATTGAATTAGTTCATAACCTTTGTGAGCTATTTCATGAAGACTTTAAGTGACACATACCAAGAGGAAGAACTCCATCCGGACATTTTTTTTTTTAAAAGAAACTCCATCCAGACAATTAACACCATACATATACAACACATAAAATAGTTCATCACAGATTTCTCAAGAATTCACATTTCCACAATTAAAAAAATTAGAAGATACATAACATACCTGTCCTAGAAAACCCGTAGTCCCGCTTTCGACCAAAGGGACATCAGCTGCTAGACAAAGTCGATTCACATGCCGCCTTGCATCTAAATTGTCAAGTCCGTTCAAGACAACATTAAATTGCTTAAAGAATTCCACATTGAACTCAAAATCCTTCACATTTGCATGATACGGTGTTATATTTATCTTATGTCTAAATTTTAAGACTGCTTCTCGAGCAACCTTATCAAATATAGATGATCCATGAGTTAGTCAAACTTAAAACTTTTAATCCAATCAAATAAAGAAATATGGTTATACTGTGATTGCCTTGGCTTTGGACAGGGCCAACATGCGATTGTTCGGAACAAAAATTGTCTATTCAGGTTACTAACTTCTATTGTATCCATGTCAATCTGCACAAACATCCAAAAATGACAAGTTAAAGCAAAAGAGTAAATTGGCAAATGGTGTTGAGAGTTCGTAAAAAGGGGGAAATAGAAAAAAGTTTGTGAAAATAAAAAAATAAAAAAATAAACCAAAAAACAAATCTGTTGTTTACCATAAATGTGATATTTTTTTCTTGAAATAAACCAAAAATGTGATACTCCAAGAAGAAAATACCATACATGATAAGTTAAAAGTCAAATGTCAACCATAGAGATTTAGATTCAAGATGAAGACATACACATTGAAGCTCGGAAAAAACGAAACATGAAAGATATTATCTTACATCCGGCCTCAAAATAATTTCATGGGGTGACTAAATTCCTAGAACAGTTTAAGCTACAATTTGCAACCATTAACTTATGCTACTGCCACCGACAAAAGAATTACTGAGCCACAGCATTGAAATACCCTTCACCAGTACCCGTCACCTTCCCTAGCATTTCCATCATTTCACCACCAGCAAGCATCAGTCTCATGATTCCTAACCGTTGCTTCCAAAAACGAATATTAGTGAACACCCCTAACAAATGAACCCAACCAACATCATAGGCCATTCCCCAGAATAATATTTTCATACCTTCATTCATATATCCATCAGCACTTAGCTACTCATTATGGTACAATTAATATCAAGGCAGTAACAAAATCCTCTTTCAGTCCTGCTCAACAACGCTACAACTACCACCAAAAATATCACCATAGGATCAGTCAGTTGTTTCACAATTTTTCCACCATCCTAAAGCTGTTCTTGCTTTTAAGGTGCCTTTCTTTTTTAGAAGAACAAATATGACTAATAAATGACAGGGCATCAGCCAATGTTAAAAAGAATAAATGCACAGCTTAGAAGTAAAAAATCTATGAAGTTCACTAACTCACCAAAACCAGAAATAGGGCAACCACTAGCCATTTGCCCACAGGTTTAATATATGAGGCTTATTGTCTCTAATTTGGAGACCAGGATTCTAAACCCTAAAAATCTCTCTTGTTCTTTCTCTCTCCATAAAACCAAAAAAATATCTGGGAATTGAAACAATAACCCTTTTAAGATCCTAAGTTCATGTCAATGCTGCCCTCCATCTAAACCTCATTAGCTTTTGGGATGAATTAAGTGTTGCCAGCCTTAGAGCAGACCCCCATATCTGAAATGACCAGCTTTTGGGATCTCTTACTTTGCATGACCTTGAATCCACTATAACACCTCCAACTATAACTATCACTAAAACAACAGAATCTGTGTTATTTCCATCAATAGTCAAAACCAATGGATTAGTCAATTTATGGCCTCTTATCGATCACTCACCACAACTACCAAACTTCCAACAAAAGAAATGGCTCTCCCTATTTCTGCAAACAATAATTAGAACGATTTCATTATACTTCTTACAGAATACAACCAACTATATTCCTCTTAAGATCACCATCAGCCTAAAACAAAGGCGATTACCAACACCCAACCCTTCAAGAACCATTATCCTTTTTTTTTTCTGAAACAAAGAACCATTAACACTTTCCACTTCTGCTATTCAATACCAAAGTGATACATCATCATCTTGTGCAGAGGAAGTAATCATATCTACCAATATTGTCCCCAATGAAAATATTTAAATAGAATCTAAAAATTCTGAGTCATAATCGACAACAGCAGAATAACAGACAAGTACTGTCTCAGCAAACTAACAAAACAACCAGCTTCAAATTCAAATACCCATAAACCCCAGTCCAAAATGAAAAAAGTGGAGACTACACGTCCATGCCTTACGAAAAAGGTGATGGAGAGAATAAAATCTAAGGAGAAAAAGATGGGATTTCAAGCATGCAACCACAGAGTCGAACCCTAGAGCTCAGTCAACAAAAAATCAACGGAAAAAAAAAATACGAAAAGAACTCACTAAACCCTAGTTACTGAAAGTCAAGTGAACAAAAAGAAAAAATCTCACTTGAGACAAATGTTCGAAGTGTAAGATACATATAAAATCCTCACCGCGAAATAAGAATAAACTCACAATATGGATGTCTTCAAAGCCAGAAAGAGCAAGTGTCTTGAGTAACTCGCACCCAATTCCTCCAGCTCCAACCATAAGCACCTTCGCGCCCTAAAAACCACCAAAAAAGACCCAGAAAAATTTTCAGAAAACCCATGAAAATTAAGCTAATGGGTGTTTAGTAACTGAAATGACAACAAGAGTTTCAGCGTGAATTTTTCGTCAAGCTTACTTTTATCGCAGATAAATCATAGTGAGACGCCATTAATAGAGCAACCCAAGAAGACAGAGAGGGAAAGGAAGCACAGTGCCTTGGAAGAGGAATACTTTTGCTTAGATCAACAAAGGTTAAACCAAAAAATTATCAGAAGTTGACAAATTTAAACAAAAAAAATTATAATAAAATGACAGCGGGGAAGAAGAAGAAGAAGAAGAAAGAAGGTCGTGAGGGTTGTGGGTATCGAACACGAGACGTGAATTGTGGAGGGAGAATCTATTAGGTGCCTGCGAAATGCGAATGGGAGAGAGAGCGGCCAACTAGAGCGGCCTACTTGTTCTTGGCATATTAAAAGTCTAAAATACCCTTAAAATGTTTAAGAAATTACATTCCCTGATGCATCATATCTCAGACTTCATCTCACCTATCAACCGTCTCTATCAGCCGCAGCTTGAGCTTGAAGCTTCCTGGTAAAGTCTCCCTTTTCAATTTCTCTTCTGTTTATTGGCTTGTGGTAGTTACAATGGTCTTCGAGCTTTCCTTTCGGGGTTTCAGGAACTAGGTTGTTTCTCTGGGTTTTCTGGGTCAAATCAGGCAAGAGCTTAGAGATTGAGGAGATATTTTCTTGTAGCTATAAGGGAGATTTGATTGATGATGAGAAATTTTGTTTGATGCTTGGTCCTTGTTCTCAATCTGCTCCGCTTGTAATTGTTTGATCCCAATCAAGAAATATAATTACTTGTGTAAAATAAGGTAATTATATTTCTTGATTGGAAACCATCAAGTAGTATTTAGTTGATTTGTGGTATGAGATTAATGGTGTGAATTAGGATGGAAGGATTCACAGGTGTAATGATTAAATTGTCGGTTTCAAATAATTCGATTTGGAAATCGAAAATTGAGAACCTTCTTTATTGTAAGGATATTAATTGGATCATGTGAATTAATTTGGTAATTATTTTAATTTACACAAGTGATTATTTTGGAAGACCCAACAATGATTTCGTCGTGCCCTCGTTTCTGATTCTGTAAGAAAAATTGAAGAATGATGGGAAATTCTGCTTGGTACTTGATTCTCCTGTGAGCCATTTCATGTATAGAAAGATCTGGGTTCCTCTAAAATCTTATAGTGAAGCAATACTTAGTTGTTCAGAGCTTGATATCTATTTTCTGCTATCTGGGTGTCATTGCTTTATGCAGTATAAGCTTTGGCTCTTAAGCTTAGGTTTGACCCTGGCTCAGTTGGTACAGGCTTTATCTGTTGCTCTTGGAACTCAAAGTTGATTTTGGGATGTGAATTTATCTCTGTGGTGGTCACAAAACTTTGGTTGCTGTTATTTTTGCTGCTAATTTATTGTGGATAAGCCTTCAATTTTCATGTTGTAAGTAACAATATTTGGTTTCAAACCCTGTGCCTCTAATTAATCTAAAAGATAAATGGTTCTTGTGTGAGGCCATTCCTAGCTAACCTTCCAGCAAGTATGTAGTAAGTTATTCCTCTTCCTTCATTTCCTGTAACAAATTAGAAGCATCAACTAGTTTTTCCAGAGGACAGTACCCCTGAATCCAGGGTTCGTGGTTGATGACATAAGGGACAACCATTTATATAGGCATCTAATTGATAAACTGCAATAGCTTTTCTTATGTTTTCATTTATTGCAAGTTTTTGGGTTGGATTATATGTAATCTATGGATTTTATGGTTCTATTTTGTGTGTCTAGGTTTATTCACTGAAACATTAGAGAACTCTATGATCACATCTCATCTTTTCTTTATATATTTAATTATATGGGCTAGGAAATAGAAACCCTTCTCATCTGCAATTCATTTTTCTCTCTAAAATTATACTGCAAGGATGATTTGTTTGGCATCTAGCTCTTCATTCCTTGAACTTTCCTTTCTTATTGGGTTTCCTCCATTGGATGTTTCTTTGTCTATTTTGTATAGAGATTGGCCAATTATTCTTTTGCAAGTTTAGTTGATCTTTCTCTCTGTGCTTCTTTCTTTCTTCTTCCTTTCAGAGTATGCCTAATCCTCCTATCATAATCTTTCTCCTTAGTTACAACTTATGTCTTTTTAATCCAAAAAAATGATTGGTTTGCTATAGGAAAACTATTTGGTGCTTGAGTTTTATGGATTATTCCAATTTTATGTTTCTTTGCAGTTGAAACTTATAAATTGCTCAATATATTGCACAAGATGAAGTGAAATTCTGGAAGTAATATGGACATGAAGAACCCTGCAATGGGTTTTACGAAGATTATCAAAGACATCAGTTCTTCGGTGATGTGTTATTCTCTAGTTTTCTTTTTAATTTCATGTTTATTTGCTCTGCTGGTTATAGTGTATGAATTGGTTATTCTAGAGCATTCGATTATCTTATTATGTGGGAACCATGTTGAGGTTACCCCGAAAATACTCTTGGAGAACAATCATGTGTTGCTTTCTAGAAAAAATGTATGAATCTTTTGATAGTCACACCGTGAGGCAGAATTTTTGACACCTTTAATTCTTCTTAGACCCTTGTCGATGAGATTGCAGTGCTTATGATTCACAGCCCTTTGCCTCATCAGAATATCTGAGTGCAGAAAATGTCTGGGTGAAATTGTTAAGCCTTTGATATATCCCATGAAGAATTGTTAGTTCATTCAGCTAAAGTTGAATAAAATTGTGAATGCAGGGATCCATGGATGAATGATCGGCATTGGGTCATCTGACACCATTCTAGTGTACGCATCCATCTCAAATAAACACATTTTCAATTGGTAATTAATTTAATTAATTTGGTTATTTGAAATTAATGTCAGGTGTAAATATTAATTGATAGATATTGATGTTCATTCTCTCTTGGAAGAACAAATGATAAGTTTATAGGGGTTGAAAGAAGTTGAGGATCTGAATCTTGCAAATTTTTCTGTAGACTCATGTTTATAAATTCAAGCTGAAAAGTTATGGAGAAAATGATGGTTCCTTCAAATTTCTTCAGAGCTACCATTTTGTTTATTGTGAATTGCATCTCTTTTCCTTGATGTTTTTCCTTTTGGACCTTTTATGAACTGGTGTCTTCACTCTGCTGTCTTGACTCCACTGTTTATCCTCTTGAACCCCCTTACGTTGATATTATGTGATTTCAGGGAAAGAAGGAATTAGAGAATATGAAACTTGACACAGATCTCGCTCATGACTTCGATCAAAGAAAATGAAGGTAACAGAGAAAAGAGAGAGATTGGTTACTTTAAGGAATATATTCTTATATATGCTTTTATTTATAGAAATATTGCTGTTCAGAAGCTCCAAAAGGCGGAAAATGGAAGTGCATAACCTTGCTTTGATGTTGCAACAGCCCAGCTGGTAACTTGATCGATNNNGGGATGATTCAGAGGAAAAATCTGCTGAGCAGCAAAAACCCCGAGTACTACCGAGCATCATTTGGAAATTGTGTACTCGTGGTCGAACCATTGCTACGTGCAGCCACATCTAGAGACGACGATGGTAGGATCACGAAGGGAAGAGAAATAAAGCAAGTGCTTTAATGATATAACTCCGAGCATAATTGAGTTAGAAAAACTTATATAGTAAGAATTTTTGACAACAACTTGTATTATGCATTACATATTTACATTTAATACTTATATAGGTTTACTTCTGGTTACACTTCTAACTTTGATTTTTAATATGTTTGTTTAATTATTTACCATTTTTTACTTGTAATATTTTTTTATGTTATATTTGTAATAAAATAATAAATATTTATTAAAAATAAATGTTTATATTTTTTAATTAATTATATACATATATAAAAAATAATAATAATGGTAATAATATCAACACTCAAATCGAGTAATAAAAACTTTTAGGGAAGGGAGAACCATTTATCATCATTAATTTTGAAAGTATATCTAAAAACAGAAGGCTTTTTAAAATATATATATTTTTAAATTCAACACTAAAAATAAAATATTTTTAAAAATTATAAAAATAAGAAATTATTTATACCTTTAATACATATATATAAATTTAAAATATAAAAAATATTTTCATTAACGCATACCCCCTGGTCAGTGGTGAAGCTTACCTTGTGGGACCCGCCGTACTTTTTGGTGATCAAAACCTCGATGCCGAGCGATATTTCTCTACCAACAATCTCATCTTCCAATCTCTGCACCCTCAACATGTGAAATATTCTATTGGTCCACGTAACGAAACATCACATCAACCAATCACATCACGAAACGTGGAAATATCCTGCCCCTTGACATAAATCATTTTTGCCAAAACGGGAACTAGGCTTCCATATGCGACGTCGTTCCATCTGAAATTACAGGGGATATAAAAAGGCAGTTTCTTTTTTTTTTTGTTCTTTACTTTTTTTCATTTTCTTTCTGGTCAACATGTGAGGACACACCTACAGAGGCACTGAAACGACTCTCTGTTTTGCCAAAACCAGCAGTTTGCCACAGCGAGAGACATTGCTCTGTACTGTGAAGCAAGAATGGAAGCCAGTTCGGCTGAGAAATCGCGGTTAGGTTTACGAATTGAGCTGGTTTGTTTCAATCAAGTGTAGCTTTAGGGTTTCTTTAACTCTTACTTGCTGGAGCTCTGCAATTCGCTTGTTTTCCCCGTCCATCTCTCGGTCGTCTCTTTGATTTCCAGTCAGCAATGGAGCCTCAGGCGATGATGGTTTTGCCAGCAGATTACTCGATTCTACCCGGTATGGGTTCTCAAGTGTGACATTTTAGTTAATTAATTATTGTTCTTGCCATTTCTTGATTCATAAGAATTTGTTTTATCGCGCGACTGTTACTTGATATCTACTCGTTGCGTGCATTCCGTACGTGATTTTTAAGTTCATTTATACTCGGTCGCTTCATTGATAAATGTATATTAATTTGTTTTATCTCGCTTTTATCGGTATTTTTTATTTGTTTGAATCGGTAACGTAACTACTGGGGTTACCATCAGGTTTTCTTGTTAGTAAAACAACTGCTTAAGACATGAAGTTGCACAATATTGTCAAAATAGTTGCTGTTCTGCCGCACCATGATGATTCTTTAGCTATTAAATTGTTTGAGCATTGACAATTTCGCGTACATCTCTAAATGAATTGACCATTGTGGTTATCAGCACGGTGTTTGAAGTTAGAACTGATATACATTAAGATTTGTCCTTGTTGAGCTGAATATTTTAATTTTCAATGGAAAACAAAGAAACCCTGTTCTTGTAATTGTCTACTTTGATGTATCTGAGTGCTTATGTTATAATGTAAGTGTCTCACTTTTTGCCATTTGTTAACAGGGTACTCAAGGGTATATAAAAGAATGAGATCACCAAACGATGGAAGAGCTTATGGATATGGGGGCATGGGTGCCTCTAGAAGTACAATTGGTGAAAGTGATGCGAAGAAACCAAAGGTGTCCTCCCAAATTTATCACCCAGGGACTGTCACCCAAGCTAGTCAACCAGAGGCGTGGTCCAAAATATCTGATTTTTCTGACCCATTTGCTATTTCTGATTTGATTAAAACCTTGGAGACTGGTGCATTTGGAAGTGTTACGGGAGATATAGCAGAACTAGCTCATCAGAAGACACTATTGGTGAACTGGTGTCACAAAATGTATCCCGAACTGTCAAGTATGCTGCCAAATCTTGAGAAGAGTTCAAGAGAAGAAGCTCCTAAGGTCAGGACTACCTCAGATATGCATGTTGTCATTGATTTGGATGATGATGATGATGATGTTGTGGTTGCAAATGGCACAGAGCCTTCAAGAACACCTGTTGTTATTCCCGATTCAGATGATGAAGATACTGGGGGTAGTAGGATTGCTACTCCTTTCCAGAAGGCCTTGCTGCCGCATTCTTATCAGGAGGCTGTCTCTAAACATCTCCAGGTAGCAATACCTCAAAATACTTTTCAGGAGGCTATGCATCAATATCCTTTTCAGATGGCTGCGCCTAAATATCCTTTCCAGGAGGTTGTCCTTGGAAAGCCCAATGAGCAATCTTCAACAACTGCCATAATGGTAATTTTCTCTTTCACATGGGGTACTAGAGTATTCTCTTCTAGAAAGGCAAATAGGAGTATGTCAAAATATGGGCAGCCAGCTGATTGTTAAATTAGGAGAATGGACATGGGTAATGACTTTCAAACCTCTGTACTTATTTATGAAAGATTATTTCTGTTTTTCAAAATTTTTTCACTGATTTATGTGATGTAAATGCATATTGCACTAATCATCTCATTGTACTTTCAAAAAAGTTGTCTGTGGCACTCAAGGTTTAAGCTCTAAATCTTATTTCAAAAAAAAAAAAAGTTTAAGCTCTAATTATGTGTGTTTTGACGGACTATGGATCTTGTTTATAGTCAGAAGAAAGCAGAAAGATAAAGGTTACCTTGTTATTTAATGTATTTGAATGTCTTTTATTTGGTGTGCTGCTCTTGTTTCATAAATTGTTGAAACTATTTGTACCATTTCCATATCTAGGTCAGGGATGCGGAGGCCCTGATGGCGATCAAAGGAGGTGATAAAGGTGTTTATGTTGGTGGAGGAGATATTGATGATGAATCTGATATTGAAAATGATGGTCTGGATGATATTTGGAAGGAAATGGCAATGGCAATAGAGTGTTCCAAAGTATCCTGCTTACTATTTATCATAAACTGTAACTTAGTTTCCTTTATCATTTATTTATTTTTCATTATTTTCAAAATTAATGAATTTTGTTTTATCATGCTTATGTCCTTTTATAAGTTAGATCATTTCAAGGCTCCTTATTGTTGATGTTGTCTTTTAGTTTTCATACAATTGTATGGAGATGACCAAGAATTGATACTGCTGTATTCCGTTAATATGATCTATCGTTAGGGTTTTTTTACTTTTGTGTTTTATTGTTAGTATAGGACAAAATTGAAGCTCAAGAGAAAAATAGTCAGAGATTTTTTTTTGAAATAAAAAGTGAAAAAATAGCCATAGATTATAAATTTAGAGTTAAAATGATAACTATTGGAGTGTCAATTAGGGACGAAATTTGAGCTTGGGACGGGATGGGCAGAAAAGAGAAACATGTAAATTTAATTACTTTGACTATTTTTTAGGTTATTTGGAAAGAAAGGAATATGAGAGCTTTTTAAGATATAGAAAGTGACATGGTGGTTCCATTTGTTTGGGTCTTTGTTGATGGGTCATGATTTGTATAGAGTGGAAGATTTTGGGTATATGATTGATTCTCTTACTAACATGTAAATCTTTTTGTACATGGGTTGCACCTTCACCCCCTTGGTGCACTGTTTATACTATTCATACTTTTTATTTAAAAAAAAAAAACTATTGGAGTGTCATCTTAGTTATGATTATGTTGCTTTTTGCAATGAATCTTTGGAAACATAATTGGACTCGGCTTCATGTCAAAGAGGTATCTGGGTTGCTGATTTAGCTAGATGTAAATTACGCTGATCAACTGCTATCTTGATCTTTATTAGTTTATTTACATCTACATGGAAGTTTCTTTGTTCTACCTAGTCCTTTTTTCCTTTTTCATTTTCTTTAGAATCTTTTGACAAGCCATGTTGCATATACTATTCTTAGTTTTTTATTTATTTTCTGATAATTGGGCTCTCATTTACAAAATAGAATTTTGTAGACATACGTCGGAAGAAGTTCCTCAAGGAAAGGGCAAAAAAAAGCAATACTTCATTATATTGCTTCTGATGTTTCTTCTCAAAAAAAGAAAAGAAAAATACTGCTTAGGCTGGTTGGTCTGCATGTTTTAGATCTGTTCCATCAAGATGACATCCTGTACTTGGTTAATTAGCATAGTTTTTTGGTGAATGTCCAACTAGAAAGCTAACTTTTCATCTAACCCTTTTCCATTTTCTAATTTCCCTACTATAATCTGTATGGTTTTCCGCACTTACTGTAGGATGCTGTTGAAGATCCTTCAACTGATGAAGAAATGCATGAGGATGCAGAGGATTGTGATCATTCTTTTGTTTTGAAAGATGATCTAGGTTATGTTTGTCGCATCTGCGGGGTTATATCAAGAGGTATTGAGACTATAATTGAGGTCCAATATGCTAAGGTAAGTTCACATCTTGATTATACTTTTTCATGTGATGTCCGAGAAGTTAATTCTAACCAACTTTTTCAGTCAGTGGTCATCAATTTCGTTTTAACCAATAGTAGGTAGGAGAAATTGAAAATGTTAGAAATTTGTATTATGGTTATTGTCATAACCATTTTGAGAATGTATCTGTTGTCAAAACTGAATGTATTTGTATATATGACAAAGCTGTAACGAGAGCTTCTTGTTATTCTTTGAAATTGCGGCTGTGAACTTCCTGGAATTTCTAAAACGAGATGTGCTACCTTGAATTTTACGAAGTTGGCAGTTGGGAATTAGTTGGCTTTCACTTATTTAACTTTCTTGTGGTTTATGGCATTTCTTTTCCTTGACATCATCGTTCTGGTTGCGAGTTGATTTTGGACATCTGTCACCCTTTCTTGTATAAGCTGAACCAGCTACGCTTTTCATGGTGCCTCTGTTTGATTGGTCAATTTGTAGTACAGAAAACAATTCTTGGTTTTCTCTTGATTTACATGGAATGCTAATATCCACTTTATTTACAATTTAAATCCAGATGAAAAAGAGTACAAGAACTTATGCTGCTGATTCTCGTACTACCAAAGACAGGGAGTCATCTGGTCTGGAAGGGGTGAAATTCTCCGACAATGTTTTGTTGGTAACTGATATATGTGCTCACCCTAGGCATAGGCAGCAAATGAAACCACATCAAATAGAAGGATTCAACTTTCTTTGTAGCAACTTGGGACAGAATCG